GTATTTTAGTTTTTGAAAGACCCATGTATTAAAACCAGCTTGATTTTCTCAAACAGTTGGGGAACCAGGAGATATGGGAATCTTAGCCATTTCTAAAATACTGATCTAGGGGGAAAAAAAGTACTGATCTAGGGCATAAAAGTATGTGCGACAGCAAACTGAATCTTCAGGTCCCCGTTCATTCAGCTGTTGGAGAAGTTGCCGCTGGCGTCAGGCTCTTGTGAACCGAAAGGGCAGAAAGGCCTGGTAGTGAGTGATGGCGGGGTCAGGGGGAAGCCTCTGGAGACTGGGGCCCGCAGGTTAACTCTAACTTTGTGCCGTGGCCAATGTCAGGCCTCGGCAATTTGAGTCTTGAATTTGCCATTTACAACCTGTGCGGCCTGAGCAAGTTTCCTACCTTCCTGACCCTCCATTTTTGCATCTATGAAATGGGGTTATTAGGGCCTCTCTTGCAGGGGTTTGGGCAGATTAAGAAAGTGAACATGATGCCTGGTACGTTGTAGGCGTTGAACACGTGTCTGTTTTGTCGTGATAAATACTTAATTCTGACTCAGTCATTTTAGAAAACATTTAGGTTCAGATCTGTTTGGGAGAAAAATTGGCTTGAGGATACCATTTGGGGTTTTTTTTTTTGTTTTTTTTTTTTAAATGCTTCCTGGGCTTGATTCCATGTGGGACTCGGCAGACGAGCACAGATTGTTCCAGCTCTTGGCTCCTGGTTTGCTGTCACACGGGGCCCCACTCTGCTGCGGGCTGTAGTGGTAAAGGGTCTGATCACACTGCCAGCTCAGAACACTCAGTTCAATACAGAGGAAGAGCCTCTCGTCCTAGCTGGCAGGAAGAGCTGTGATTTCTGCCATAAGAGGCCAACGTGGCAGGAGAACGGGGGCTGGCGTGAGCCCAGCATGGGTCACTGGGCAGATGGGACATGTCACAGAGCATGTCATTTCTCAGCTCTGTGGATGGGCAGTTCAAGAACCGGTGGTACTTATGTCTGCCAGTGGGGGACGACAGCACGAGCGGAACATGACGGCATCCCCCAAGATGGGGCAAGCGTCAGGCACAGATGCTGCCGGGAGAGTCTTTTCTAGGACGATTGCTGTGGGGTATCAGCAGCAGGCCCTGAGGATGGGTTCTTGGCCAATGGAGAGGCTGCGTCTGAGAACAGGGCTGAGCTGGGCCCTGGCCACATTGCCCAAGAAGCTTGCATAGAGGTGGCATCTGTGACCTGGTTGGGAAGGCCCAGCCTTGAGTTTAGCTTTGATCCTCCCAAAGAGCCGTGCCGGGCCTGTGATAGCCTGGATGAGCCTACTGGACACTCTCAGAAGGAGCCAGGGGGTGAAGCCATAATGTCTAGGTTCTAATCTGGGTCCTTACCATCTATCTGTATGCCTTGGGGAACCTCCTTGGGCCTCAGTCTTAGGACAGTAGTACATGAGAAGGTCATCGTGGAAATTATGAGATGCCACTTACAAAGTGTCCACAGGTTAGTTCTCTTTCCTTCTCTCAGCCTGTTTCTGTACAGAGTTAAAGAGGAGAGATAGGGCTGGGCAGGAGTGAAGGTCAGTGCTGTCTGGGGCCCTGCGGCCACCAGAGGATCAGACTGGGGCTGGCAGAGGAGGCCCACAAGACAGCAGGAGAACAGGGCAGCAGAAACCTCCCTTGACTCTTGGGACCTTGCACAAGTTAGTTCACCCTCTGGGGCTCAGTTTCCCCATCTGCAAAGGGGCCATAGTGGTTTCATTCTGCCCCTCCATGGGGTCACTGTGAGGCCAGATGAGATTATGGACATGAAAATTCAGCTCCTAAAAGGGTAATGCATGGCATACACATAAGGGATGGCTATTTTAACAGGGATCACCTGCCTTAGGTTTCGCCGGGGCTGGCCCTCCTGGGGAAATGGCCATTCCCTTGTGGACCTTCCTATAAGCCCCCTTATTTGCCTCCTAAGTACTTGAGGCAGAGACCAGACATGGATCATGGTGACTGTGATGAACCATTGGATAATGGAGAATGGGGAAGAGCACGTTACTTTGACTTTGCCTCTTTTGAGCTGCCAGAAGGTCTGGGGTGCATGTCCTTTAGTCTGGGGGAGGCTGCCCCTGGGAGGACAGCCAGAGGACTCAAGACTAGGAGCAGGGACAGCCCATGAGCCCTGCCTGAGATTAAATATATGAATTGAACAAAAGCAGGGCATCCCTGGGGGTCAGAGGCCTTGGGGGTGGGCCTGGGGGTCATGCATGGAGAAACCAGGGGAGAATATTCTGCCATTATTCCAAGACTAGTAAGGACTGTGATGGTAAGAAGAATATTTAGTGACTGTGTGTTGCTTTAAGGGTCACAGGTGCATTCACATCTGTCACTGTATTTGATCTGGAAGATTTCCTAGTGAGGCCATTTAAATGGTGGAAGGAAAGGAGTGGCTGGAACTAGTTCAAGGCAGGCTGTTTATGGAGCAGGGAGGCATTGTGTGGCTTGAGGATGGTAAGCCCATGGGAGGAGGGAGCAGGACAGCTGGGATACCCGGACAGGGACTTGAAATCCTCAGTGTCTGAGGCCCTGCCCTCTGAGGCTTGCTCTGGCCCCTGAGCTGCGGGTGAATTCCTACCCTGTTGCTCCCCCCACAGCTTCCTTTTTTCTGCCCTATTTCACCCACCCCGCCCTGTTGCCATGGTTACCTACTTAGGCACAGCCCAGCAAGCACTGGAGCATTTCACCGCAGCCCTGCCCCGAAGCCATAGCAACCGCTGGGCAAACTTCTGCTTTTGGCTTTCCTTTGGGGAACCACACTTCCCTCTTGGCACAGGCTCTAGGTCCTGAAGGACCCCTGAGAAGTACCTTTCCTGCTGTCTCCCTGTTGGGAGCCCCAGTCCCCTGGCCTAGGAAATGCTGCTGCCACCCCCTCTTCTGTGCCTGTTCTTCTGACCTAATTCACACCCAGTACTAGAAATTCGCCCCTCCCTTTCCTACCAGGCCCACCTTAGGAGATGCTGTTCTCTTAAAGGTCAAGGTCTAGGGCGGACAGGAGGAAGTTCCCACAGCTGGCCCGGAAACCTTTCACATGTCACTCATTCTACGCACGTGGACTGAGTAAAGTGCTGTGTGCTAGCCTGTACTGGGAGTCTAGAGACATGTCCCTACCCCAGGAACTGGTGAACCAGTTGAGGGTGTGGGGGTCGCTGTGTATGCCCCGTGTTGAGGGGGATGAGGGGGGCTCAGCCTCACTTGGCGAGATAAGTCAGGGATGGCGCTGAAGGGGCACATACCAGAGTTGAGTTGTGAGGAGCCAGTTGACAGAAAGAACAAAGACAAGTTGACAGAAGAAACAAAGACAGGCTTTGGTGAGGATAGGGAACTTCAGGGAGTTCTGTGTGGCCAGGGGAGGACTTGGGAGCTGGGGGGTGGGGGAGGAGAAGCTGGTGTGGTGGACAGATGGGGCACATGGTGAAGGGTCTGCTGCGGCAGCCACAGAAAGGAAGCTGGACTTTATCCTGGGGCAGTCAGGGGTGGAGATCCTGGCAGAGGCTACTCTTCAAGGACAAGCCAACCAGAGCTAAGGCCTATGGTGACAGCTGGCTGCTCACCAGCCCCAGAATGAGACTGGTCTGCATGGGCAGGTCCCCAGACCCTAGCTGTGCCTAACTAGGCTTCTCTTTCTGCACCACAAGAAAGCCACCCTGCAGGCTGCCTGCCCTAGCCTCTGTCCATCGGGATCTCTCTCCCACAGAATTCTAGCTCAGATTCCACTCGGTATGTGCCTATGTATTGCTGCTGAGGGCAGAGACTGTGTCTCCCATCCTTTCATTCCCTAACACACCCCCCACATTACTGCCTGGTGGAGGCTGCCTCTCCAGACCCCATCCTGGGTGGTCAGAGCTGGGGAGTTGCTGGAGGTGAAGGCTGGGGGTGGAGGATTGGGGAGGAACATGGCCAGGCACAGCGAGTTTTGGAGTTTTGTGTTCCTACTTAGCTCAGTGAGATAGCTCCTGCCAGGCATCTCCTTGAAATTTCTTCTCCCTTCCTGTTGGTGCTTGTGTGGGTGGATTTCACCAGGAAGGAGGGGGCTTTCTCTGCCACTTTCCCTCTCCAGTCCTCTCCCTTAACCCTTTGGAGTTCCTGACTGGCTCTTGTTTACCAGGCTAGCATCAGGGCTTAGCCTTTCTGGGGATCTCCTGGCCTCTCGGCACCCTCTCCTGGGGCCGGTCCATATCCATGGTGGCGGTGGGCAGCCCTTGCCTATTGTGGATCCCCAGCCACTGGCTTGCCTTACTGCCTGAAATGCCCCTGTGGGTGAGTCACTTTTTTGGATATTATAGGCGCTTTGGCTTCCAGAAGCCTCAGTGGGAACACACTTCAGGCCTGCATAGTAGGACATCCGGAGCCCACAGTCCAAAGGTTGTTGGGCTTCTGGTTCTGCAGCCATTTGGGAGCCTCAGCCCCAGACCTGGAGAAGCAGGTAGTAGTCCTGGCCAGAGGGAGGATATGAGGCACATCTGTGGACAGGAAAGATTGTCTAGATCTGACCAGTGTGATCTGGGTTTTAAGAGCCAGCAGTTTCTTTTACTCTGTCAGGAAGGCGAAGTCCTTGGTTCTGAGGTCCTGTGTTGGGAAGGAGAGGAGGGTGAGTCCCAACACATGGAGGGGCTTCTAACCCTTCTGCAGAGGCAGGGGTATGCTAGGAAGAGAGACCCCTTGGGCAGAGGGAGAAGAGATAAGAGCGGAGGATGCTGGGAGCAGCCAGCAGGAGCATCTGGGTAGAATCCAGCTTTGCTTCAGCTCAGGCCATCCTCAAAGTGTATGGGGGATGTTGGGGGGAGGAAGCAGGGGCCCCAGAGCATCCCAAGCCTGGTCCTTGCTCAGAGACCCCCATAACTCCTATTCAGCTACTCCCAAGCCTGAGTACTATCCCTAGGGTTGAATATACTGGAGGATGGGTGGAGCATGCCACAGGTCACAGAACTTGAGGGTCCAGAATCCCTGATGGTGAGATTTCAGGCTCAGTACCAACCATATTTTCTGATCATAATGCTTCGAAACTAGAGATCAACTATAAAAAGAAATCGGTCCCCTCCCCTCTCTGAGCAGCCACCTGGCAGTGCTGAGCTACTGAACTCCTGAGTGCTCGATGCCAAGCACAGGGGTCTTGAGTGCGGGGGAGATTTCTTGGGGAGGAACAAAAAGTTCCATGGTGGGAGAGAGTCAAGGATAGACCTGGAATGATAGGAAAAAGGTATGGGGGGTTCTATCAGAAAGACTCAGGGGACCCACAGAGTAAGTGAAGAGCTCCCCTCCGTGAGCCAACCAGGGGGGCTACCCACCCGACTTGGACAATTCCACATATTCTCTGGCGCTTTTTCTGTGAGTGGACAGTTTTAAACAGACAAGGAGCTCTCCCACAAAGCAACTGGTCTAACGCCTCAGAAATGCCAGTGTCTTGAGAGACAGAGAAAGGCCGAGGGACTCTCCCAGATGCAAGACACTAAAGGGACATGGCACCTGAGTGCAAGACGTCATCCTGGATTGGATCCTGGAATGAGAAAAAGTAAACAACTAGTGAGGTGGCAAAATCCGAATGTGAACTGGTGTCAGATGGTAGTGATGGTAGTGTTACAGTCCCTGAATTTGGCATTTCTGTTGTGGTTATGAAAGGGTGTGTCCCCTTGTGTTTAGGGGTAAAGGGCCATGTTGTCTTAACCAACCCATTATCATCATCATCATCATCATCATCATCATTAAGAGACAGACAAATGTGGTAAATATTAACAATTGGGTTTACCATTATGGTACTATATTTGCAACTGAGATTTTTGTAGAAGCACAATGACTACCTGGAGCTGGAGCCCTCAAAAATACTCCCTCCCTGCAACCTGGGCGAAGAGCAGAGGGCTTTCTCTCTTTGGAGAGGTCCTTTGTGAGGATGGGAAGGACTCTGGCTGTTTCTGGGAGTGGGGCCACCTGCCTGGCCTCAGTCAGTAGTGAAAGGGTGATGGTCACTTGGCCTGCGAGTCAGGGGTCCTGCGTGGCCAAGCACCTGCTTATTCTCTGTCCTCACACGTCTCTCCACAGGCTGCTCGGGATGTGGTGCTGAGCCGGGCGCCGGAGCAGAAGGAGGACCGGGCGGTAAGCCTGCAGAATGCGGCGGCCATCTACGACCTCCTGAGCATCACGCTGGGCAGGAGGGGGCAGTACGTCATGCTCTCAGAGGTACAGCTGGCCCACCCCACCCAAGAGTCGAGTGGCACACGGAGGAATTCAGATGGAGCCACCCATTGTCTTCCTCCACTGTCCCTTCCCTGTCTGCACCAGAGGGTATAGCTCAGTTCTGGGAGGCCAGCCTTGGGACTGTTCCATTTTCAGTGCTAAGAGACACTGGTAGGGTGGGTTTTTTTTTGTTTGGTTGGTTGATTTGGTTTTGCTATTGTTTTTATTTTGAAAGAACACATGGCATTGTAAAGAGAAGCACAAGAGGAAAATTTTCACCCCTCGATTTCTCCAAGATGACAGCGATGTTTTGTGACTGCCTCTCCTGGCAGGGCTCTGAGCTGAGTGGACAGACACCCATTCTGTTGGACAGACCCTACTGAGACAATGCTCAGTGGGCTGTGCCCAGGGAGTTGGTGCCTCTCCTGCCTCCTACACGCAGTGCACGTGGCACACACACATTTTTGAGCTTTCAAGTCTGAGCTGAGATCAAGGTGGCTTTGAGGCCTTTGTCTCCTGCAAGAGTGGGCCTCTTGGCAGTAGATTCTCTTTCCAAGTGTTTAGGAGGGCTCCTTAAAGGAGGGACGGTGACACCTGCTGAGCCCCTGCTCGCACCAGGCACCACACAAAGTGCTTTCCGAGATGACCCCCTTGTTAATGTGGGAAGGATAAGTGGTGTTCTCGCAAGTTTACCACAAGGAGTGAGAGGCCCAGAGAGGTGGCTTTTTGCCCAAGATGGTGCAGGGAGTGCATGTTGAGCCAGCAGGTGAACCCAGGCCTTTGAGCTCTTAAAGTGTGTGCTATCTGTACCTGTTCCCCCCAACCCCCTCCCCTCGCCACCCACCTGACTCATGCTGGCGGCGTCTGTCTCGAGCACCTGGAACTTCTGTGGGAGACTATCAGATCTCACCGCGCAGCCCCTGATTTGGGGTTGCCTGGGACTGGATAGGCCAGTGGAGCAGTACATTTTCTCAGTGCACTTAGAGAACAGCAGGGCAGAGAGGAGCCTTTACATTGGGGCAGCTGTTTCTCCATGGCCTCTGCAGTCAGCCTGCTCTGCCACTTACCAGCCCTGTGACTCTGGCAAGTCATTCAAGCCTTAGCTCCCTCATCTGTGAAATAAGGGTAGAGACCCCCACCTCACAGGGCTGTTGGAGGAATAAATGAGGTAATACACGTAGAAAGCTGAGAGCACTGCTATGCACAATATTAATAAATGCCAGATGTTATTTTTATTGTATCTCTGAGACATTTTGAAAGCACTTTCACAAATCGCATTTCATTCGCTTTTCACCATCACCCTGTGAGATCATTCACGTGTTATGGATGTGGGAACCCAGAGCCAGAGAGGGTGAGAGACTTGCGCAGGGTCACAGAATGCCAGTGGCGGGGACAGGTTACCCCGGGAATTTTCTGACGAGAACCAAGAACGGGCCTCCCACAGCCTCCTGCAGGCAGTGACCTGGCAGCGATTACCCCGGGAGGGCATGGATGGGCTGGGGGTGGGAGGACCCCAGCAGGGAAGTGCTGACGTCTCCCTCTCCCCAGTGCCTGGAGCGAGCCATGAAGTTTGCGTTTGGCGAATTTCACCTTTGGTACCAAGTGGCCCTTTCCATGGTGGCTTGTGGGAAGGTAAGGCCCTGGAGTGCTGGGGGTCACACCCTGACCCTCAGGAGCACTGCTCCCCTCTGGTCACCTCCTAGAGGTGGGGGGTGGCGGACAGTAATTCAGAAGTGTCATCTGGCAGCCAATTTCCATCTCCAGGGAAGTGAGGGCATGGGAGGGCCACACTCAGACCCCCATGTGAATCCGGGGTCCACGTGTGAGTTATGAGTGGGCCAGGTATGCAAGGGGGTGCTTTTTTCTGAAGATATGTGTATGCCTGGGGCACCATCGCATTTCTGCAAGTGAATTGATGGGTACGACTGGATGAGACAGGTGTGAGGCGTGGGCTCCAGCGAGGGGAGCATTGTTCCATTGGGCTGTAGCTCTCTTCCTGCTCCCTGAGCATGGAGTCATGAATCAGGAGCTGACCGCATCCCGGGTCTCAGGGCTACATCTGCTCTTTACCCACCCAGCCCTCATTTTTCCTCAGATGAGAATCACACTTACATAAGTCTCTATTTTAAGCAGTGACATGAAAGGAAAAGCTTTCCGGGGCTGGGTGCTGGGTCTGTTGGAGCTGAGGATGCTTCGAAGGCAGGAAATAAGGTGGCATGAGCTCACAGATCGTTCCAAGAGCTGTAAACACCAGGGCCCTTTTGTGGGGCTGAGGGAATTCCTTGCCACCCCCCGCCCCCACCCATCTGTGCCACCTGCCATTTCTAGCCCCGCAGCCATCTCCGAGGAGGGCCCTTCTAGGCTTGCCAGCACCTCCTCCAAGAATGGAGGGTGTACAGGCTGGGTCCTGGCAGGGAGAGGGAAGAAGAGCAGGTGCTGCAGCTTGACAGGTGGGAAGTACAGCTGAGAATCAAGTAGGGCACCTTCTCAGCCCCCGCCCCACCAGGCATTTTGTCTTCCCGAACATTCTCCCCCTCTCCCCATCATGTTGGCTACCTCCCAGAGCACCCTGAAGTCACAACCAGGTACCCTGGCTCTGCTCAGCAGGGTCTTACCAAGGCTGAGGGACAGTTCAGGACAGAGATAGGGCTAGACATAGGGAAAGGAGGAGCGGGAGCTGGAGGTTACGTGGAGCCTGAGAAGACAGCTCACAGTGGCATGTGATAGCTTCTTCCTGCCTTGAAGAAACAGAGAAAATGCCTCTAGTCTTATAACAGTGAGCATGGACCAGAAGGAGAGGCCCAGGACCACAGTGCTTCTCACCCTTCTGTGGATCATGGACCCATTTGAGTTGCCGAGGAAAGCTAGCTGGGGACCCCTCCTCGGAAGAATGTTCACACGTAGAAGTTAGCTTTAATTTCTGGGGGTGCTGCTGGAAGGCCCTTGGTCTCAGAAGAAGGTATCATGTTAGCCTGGGAAGTATAGGGTCTTCTACCTCCTTACTGAGAAGAGCCATGCTCAGAGGGGTCCAGACAGCCTGGCATGTGCCTGGGAGCTGGTGTCCCGGCCCAGGTCCTTCACAGACCAGCAAGGCCACACAAGAATGGGCTTACAGACAGGGAGTTAGGGCAATGGGTGAATTCCTCACACATGAGGCCCCACAGGCTGGAGACCCTGGGATATACCCACCACTACATTTGGTGCCCTAGGAGATTGTTCTAGAAGCACACTTTCTACCCCCTTCAAGAGCCCCGTACACCAACCAGATCATTCAGCCTGGTTGTCTAGACCTCACCTTTGCCGAGATCAAGGGTAAGCCCAAAAGGTCTTCCAGAAGGTGAGGCCAGGCCAATAGAGATGCACTTCAACCTGTAGGAAGAAAGGATGAGTTCTATGACATGATTTAGGTCGCTCCTTTTCTTGGTCTCCTCGGCAATCACATTGGCTGTGTTGCTAGGTAACCAGCATGAAAAAAAAAAAAAAAGCCAGCTGCTCTGACTGTGGAGTCCTCAGATGGCTCCTTAAATAGCAGTGTTTTGTGGTCTGGGTGGGGGTAGAATGTGGACGGTCAGGGTTAGAGAACCCTGTATTTCAGGGGTGCACAGGTCAGCAGCCAGAGAAGGAGGCCGAGGAAAGGCCTGAGGCTTGCTGGGGTGTGTGGCCAGAGGCGCCGTGGTGGGTGCCCTGGGAGTGGCATTCACAGGAGAAGGTCTAGGGAAAGGAGGGTGGCCTGGCAGCTCCTTCAAGCCCCTTAGGCAGCATCCCTTGCTCCAGCCCATGCAGGGCACCCCGTGGAATCTTCTGGCCTACCAGAGTCTGTTATCTACTAACACTGTCTTATGCCCAGTCTCATATCCTGAGAGAGCAGTGGGAGATGGTGGCATTTGTCTTCTCTCCCCAGCCTTTCTGTGGGCTCCTGATAGCCAGGAGCCATGGCCTCTTCTCCTTCCCGCAGGAACTCCTCTATCCCTAGCCCAGTACTGGGCACGGAGCAGGCCCTTGGCTGAGACACCTGGAATTGGCCTAATAAGCCTAAGCCTAGAGCCCGAGGAAATCTGGTACATCTGGGCTGAGAAAAGCTCCTCCTTAGCTGGTGGGAAAAGGAGGGGTAGCCAGCAAGGGGCAGTGGGTTTAGAGTGAACACAGACAAATGGGGTCCCAGTTCTGCAGCTGCCAGTTCCTCACACCATGCTATGGACAGTGAGCCTTCTAGAGCCCCATCTCCTCATCAGTACCTCCGGAGTTGCCAAGAGCTAATTAATGGCTCAGCCCACAGTAGGGCCCAGTATAGGGGAATTGTAGTTACAGGCACATGTCTATGCCTGCCTGGGGTTCACACTGGAATGGGGGGTTTGCATGCTGGGTGTGTGTATGGGGTGAGGGGGTCACTGCTGAGTTTCATGGAAAAACATTGGATTCAATCAAAAGGTCCCAGCCCTGAGTGAGTATGTGTGTATGGGTGGGGAGCAAGGAGACAGAGGCCTCCTCTCTGGCCAAGGTAGTCACCACAGAGGCAGGGTTGGGTTATGAGCTTAGAACCAGACTGCTCAAACCCCAGCTCAACCACTTATGGACAGCATGGCTTTGAACAAGCTACTTAACTTTTCTGCATTTTCGTTTCCTCGTCTGTGGTTAGAGACATAGCACTTATCTCATAGGAGAGTTGTGAAAATCAAATGACTTACTATTGATAAAGCACTTAGAATAGAGGTCAGCAGACTTTTTCTGTAAAGGGTCAGATACTAGATATTTTTGACTTTGCAAGCCAAGCAATCTCTGCCTTCTTATCGTGAAAGCAGTCATATACAATACATGCGTGAATGGGTGTGGCCAAGTTCCAATAAAACTTTATGAACAAAAGCAGACAGAGGGCCAGAATTGGCCCTCTGACTTGCTGCAATGTCTGGTGCATAGTAAGATCTAGACAAGTGTTATCTGGTATTCTTCTCATTTGTGATTAGTAATATCCCTGCCTGGCTCCGTATGCTCTCCCCTCCTGGCCCTCCATCCATACTTGGTCATCTTCAGCAGGTCCACACTGGCCCTGTCTCTGCGGCTGAGTCCTTGAAGCCTTGGGGGATCCCCAGATTCCTATCTGGAGGTTTTTTGTGGCTCTGCCACCTTTGCTTCTCTCCTCTGTCAGCCTTTACATTTCCACTCCACTCCCCACCACCGGCCCTGCCTCCAAGTCCCCATGTGGATTTGGCTTCATCCCATCATCTGTTAATCCAAGAGTGTTGAACTTAGAAGTTTGAGAGAACCATTTTCTACCTCTAAAATTTCTGTGGTTTAATTTGAATTCCTTTGGAAGAGTGTCCATCTGTTGTCACCTTACCTGTTGTGATATCTCTTCTGGGCAAGGGTCACAGCCTCCATTCTCCAAATAAAGAAACTGAGGCACAGGAGGGACTTGCCTGCCCACACTGCCTGGGCCCCTCCTACTGGGCCCTCTTCCTGCCTCTTGAGAGGAAACAGATGCAGAGCAAGGACGTAGTTTGGGAACTCCCCCCACTGTATGCATAAGGCACCCAGTCTGTTGACCAAGGCCAGAGAGTGACGGTATTGCCTGCTCTTTCCTCTGCAGTCAGCTTACGCTGTGTCGCTGCTACGGGAGTGCGTGAAGCTGCGGCCCTCAGACCCCACCGTGCCCCTGATGGCCGCCAAGGTCTGCATCGGGTCCCTGCACTGGGTGAGTGAGCTGCGGGGGCAGAGAGCCCTGGTGTCTTCCTGTTCCTATGGGAGGATGGTAGCAGGTGGGCATGAGATGGCAGTGTGCTCGTCTTGCTTTGTGAGGGTGGTATAAATGACATAAGGTATGGAGAGGGCTGGATGGGTCAGAGAGGCTGCCTGGGGGAGGAAGCCTTGGACTGGGCTTAGAGGTCTGAGGGAAGATCCAGGTGTGTATGGGGTGAGGGGGTCACTGCTGAGTTTCATGGAAAAGCATTGGACTCCAGCCCTGAGTGAGTATGTGTATATGAGTGGGGAACAGGGAGACGGAGGCCTCCTTTCTGGCCAAGGTGGTCACCACAGAGGCGGGATTGGGCAGTGGTTATGAGCTTAGAACCAGACTTCTCAAACCCCAGTGGCAGGCCCTTTCATCATAGCTTGCTTTCCCCAGCCCCATGATTAACAGGAGAACCCTCTTGCTCCCCAAGTCTTTTCAGGGAGACTGTTGGCATCTTGCACCCTAAAGATGGGGCACCCTTGGGATGTGGGTGGTATGTGGGTGCCAGCAGTGAAGAGACACCGAGGCAGAGCACTGCAACAGAGGGTGGTAGTGTGAGCTTGGAGGATGGAGAGAAGGTGGGCTCATCAACCCTAACTCACACCCCTGCGTGTTCCCAGGGCTCCTGAGAGGGGCTTCAAGCCCTTCACTGGGATGAAGCCCAGAATACCTGTCTCACTGAGGTGGGCAGGGCAAGGCACCTGCACTCCCAAGGCTGCCGGCTCCGAGTAGCTGTGGGTCCACCCAGCCAACAGCCGCCCTTGCCAGGAAGCCCTAAATTTAGGTCTTCCCGCCGTGGAGGAGCTGTTTCCCTCAGCAGCATAATTACAGTAATTATGTGCATTCAGATTACATGGTAATAAAATTAGGATCAAATCAGTCCAAATTGAAATCAGATGAGTTAGGAGCAAAGTAATCAATGACAACATAAATAGAAAAGCACAAAAGGAAACTTAAACATGCAGACTTGTCATCTGAATCGGGAGGAGGGTGAGCTGTTTAACCTCAGCTGAGCATATTTGCATTTGGGGGCTGGTTTGAGCTTGAGTTTAAATCGGGTACAAGTTAGAGTGGGTTGTGCTGGAGGGCCAGGGGAAGTGGGGTGCTCCTGGCGGCCTTTCCTGACCACACACTTCACCCTTCACAGCTCCCTAGAGCCCCCCTTATACTTGCCTTGGACTTCTAGCACTTCACGTTGTAATCAGCGGTGTTTCCTGACGGCAGGAACTGTCTGTCTTCCTCCTTGAAACCCCAGCCCTGAGTTAATGCCTGGCGCTAATTGGATGGATCCTACTTGCCAATGAACACAATCACTTGGCACTGAATTCTGCCTTATATGGTACTTATCTTTTTCTTGATTAAATGGGGGAGCTTCTTACATCCTGAGCCCCTCTCCCTTACACAACCCTGCATAAAGTAGGTGTTTGCTAATATCTTATAAAATGATACCCATCCCAGCTGGCTGGGAGGGATGGGTGTGGGAGGTCTGCATCTGGTTCAGTGGTTCTCTGTGGCTCCCTGGGTTGCCACTGGGCCAAGAGCAGGCTGTGGATAGCCAAAGGCAGCCCGTTCTCCATGGAGGCTGGGATGGGAGCAGCCCAGCACTCTATTGTCAAGGCTGTGAGCAGAAAGAATGGATCTGACCATGGCGGGCAGAGGGGTGCTAGTGCTGTGACAGGACATGGATCCTGAAAGGTGTTTGACACCACCTCTTTTCCTGCCTTCTTAGCTATTCTGGCTCACGTTGGCCTCCAGCAGGCCCAGCCATTGCCCAGCCATTGCCCAGCCAAGCCCTACTAGCAAGGGATAGAAATCTGGGGGTGGAGAATTTGGCCCATGTTGCAGGAAGGGAGGCTGAAACTAGGACATTTGAAAAACGAGTTGTGCTGGCTGAAACCAGACTGGATGGCCACTTGCCTAGAGGCGGAGCACCGGCTGTCCCCGGGGACTGTCCTTATGCCCAGAGCCAGTGTGGGATGTCCCAGGCTGTGTCTGGGTCCAAGCAAGGTTGTCCCTGGGTGAGAGTGGGTAGGGAGGGGATTGGGCAGAGGAACCTACCTCCACAGTCGCATGCTGGTTGACATGGGGTTTGCAGCGGGGTGGGAGCAGCTGGAGAAGCTAGAGGAGCCTGAGGCTCCCCTAGGTTACAGCAGTGTGCGGCAGCCTCCTGCTTTGGCATGGCCACTGTCTCTCCAGGGTCACCAACCAGTTATTTGGGCAGGATAAAAAGGAGATGTAACGATTTTTTACTATTCCTCCAAACACAATTATTTAACATTCGTTTATTTAAAAAGTGGGATCTTTTCTAGGAGGATAGGAGATGGGGGTGTGCATATGTACTGTGTGTCATGCATGGGAGAAAAGGTTGTGAAGTGGAAAAGCAGGCCATGATCCCCTTTGGAAAAGACTGCGATCCTGTCTGTCTTCCTGAGGGGACAGTATGGGGTGGTAGAAAGAGTGCAAGCTTTGGAGGCAGAGAGGATAGGGTACAAATTCCCGCCCACCCACTTAGTGCTGTGTGACTTTAGGGAAGTTATTTACCCTCTCTGCACCTCATCTGTAACCTGGAAACAATCACATCCAATATTATAGGTGGCTGTGAACATCAGAGCTGAGTGGTGTTCCTGCTTAGTGGTGTCCCTTGCAGGTATCTGGTAAATGGCAGCTATCCCTGTGACACCCCCTTCAAAATAGCCGGCTGTCAAAAAGGTTGCGCTCTTGTGTTATTGCCTTCATTTTTCAGATTCAGGGGTGGAGAGAGCCAGGAAGATAGATTAAGTGTTTATGAGGCAGGGGAGAAAGAATGCTGGCTCTAGCTTGTGGGGGTTTAGGAAAAGTGCCTGCTTTTCCCAGGAAGACAAGAGTACATTTTCAAGAGCAGATAACAACAGATCTTGGCCTAAGGAGAAACTGGAGGTGCTCTTTTAAAAAGCTCCGCAGGCTCAGAAGTGACCTTTCTCTAGTTCCCAGGAAGCTGGAGGACGGTAAAGCTTCCAGGCGGACAGCCTGTTTGGCCCACAGCAAGATGAAGAAGACAGCCTGAGTGTGAGCAAAGCGTGTAGCCAAAGCCCATCCCTGTTGGGACCAAATTAGGACAACTGGAGAGATGCAGGAACTTGTAAAGCCATGGGAACGTTCTTACTTATGGAAAGCGAAAGCAAAGGGTCAACATGTGCTATCCTTCAGTGCATCCTTTCCCCAAAGGGCCAGAGAGGAGAAAAATGAAGAACCCCAGAGGGCAGCCATGAATCAGGCGGCTCAGAGAGCAAGATGTAGAGTCAGGAGACCTGGATTAGAAACTCAGTTCTGCGACTTACTGGCCATGTGACCTGGGGTGGGTCCCCTAAGCTCCCTTGTGCCCCAGAACCTTCAACTGTGAAGCACCCATTCCATCAGGTGGCCTTGGGGCTGGGAAAGGCCTGGAAAGCACTAACTTGCTCTGGAATTGCAAGGGAGGGAGATGGCCAAGATCTCCACTTGGGTTTGTGGCAAAGTTACATGATTGCTGTAGGTAAAGGAGGCATTAAAAGCAGTGTATCACTGAGTAGCGAACAGTTGAAAAGAACTTTGAAAACCCCTCATCCTAGAAGTATAATGGTGAGCAAAGAGGGCTAGTGCTGTGACCTGAGTGAATCTTGCAGAAGCAGTGACCACAACTACAGAGTCACCAGCTGTTAACTTTGGAGGCCACAGGAGGAAGCATCTGGAGATTGGAAAGGACCAACAAGGTCCTAGGTGGGGATGAAGATGATTGTAGACGGGCAGGCACTGGGCTATTCAGTCACCCATTTGGTTTTCACATCGCAGGTTGATACCCATTAGTGGGTTATGAAATAAAACTCTATTTATTTTTAAAAAATGGAATAGACTATTAGAGAATAGATAGAAAATATCTGAGTGTATTATGTGTTGTTGGGGTGAATGTTGCGACAAAGGGCAGGTTTGTGGTTCCTGGACCGTGGGTCGGGGTCAGAGTCCGGCCAGCCCAGCACAATGCACGGCCCAGGGCTGTGGAGACCCCGCTTGCCCGTGGGTAAATTAACTCCTTTTCTGTGACTCAGGGTCCAGACAGAAACAAGGCAGGCAGTCGAGTCCCCTCTCGGGATTCCAGGAGAGTCTTTGTTGCCACTTCTTAATTTGTCACTGAGATCATGTCTTTATAGGGGAGGGATCTACTCAGATGGCACTTGTCACATCTCAGGCTGAAGCTTAAAAAAATTCTGGAAAATTATAGATGTAAAATTACAACTAATAATAATTATGTATGTCTGGCCCCAGGGCTTGTGTTCTGAGCTACTAGGCTGCCCCACTCTCTGTGAAGACTACTGTTCACAGGTGTGGAGCTGACTCTGCACTCGGGTGGGATTATAGGACTTCAGGACAAAGGTGGCAAAGCCACATTCTCAGGGGCTCTAGGAATCTCACTCTTGTCTTAGATGAAGGGGAATTGCGCATTTACATATATATGAAACTATATATAGAATATATTTTTTATATTTTTATGATATATATTATAAAAATGCATATTTTATATTTAAAATACATCTATATTTTGAGGTTGTTCATACTTAATAGACGATAATATTTCTTTTCCTTCATAATCACTACATTGACTCCACATGTAAAACGTTAATTTGTTTCTGATCATTAATAGAAATCAAAATAGTGTTGGCTGTGTAGGAAAATGGTACATTGGGAGTTTGATTTGAGGCAGATGCTGACACCGTGCTTAGAGACCATTTTAAACTACGTGGGTAAGGCTGGCAAGCACTGGAGAAGGAAAGCTACTGACCTGGGGGTCAGAGTTGACGGCAAGTCAGTCAAGCTAAAGATGTATGTTTTCGTTTTTTAAAGCTAAAGGATGGTGCGCTCTATTAATCCAGAATATGATGCGTGTGTACTGGAGAGTAATTTTCCCTGTTTGCTAGTAATCGCTGAGCCTTGTTCCCAGTACCCTCTCTGAATGGGTGGCCAGAGGTAGAAGCTTGGTGTTTGCCAAGTAGAAGGACACGGCCATGGGCAGAGTGTTTACACATGGAATGCAATAGGTTTCTGGATTATTTTTTTTTTATAACTTGCACTTGATGGTTTATAAAAAAGCCAGCTCCTTTTGAATGAGGCATAATGATGTCTAAAGACGGGGTGTGAGATGAGCCATGTCAGCAATGGGAATGTTAGGAAGGACGAACAGTGCCGTTTCCTCACTTACCCTTCCCGTGGTACTTCCTGTCCCCCCTCTGCCACGAGGCCTCCTCGGACAACCCCAACCACATGATAGCCCCGCCTTGGAGCTCCCAAAACCCCATGGCAACCCCACACAGTAGAGCCTTAATTAAGAGCCACCTTCTTCTCCAGGGTCTCGCCCTCCTTTGTGTCGGTTCACAGGATTCCATGAGCTCATCAGGCATCCTGCCCCTTGTCACTGGGCATCCCCAGCTGGGCCCAGCACAGAGTCTGGTGCTGCAGAATCTTCAGTGGAGATTTTCCGGGAGGAGCAGTTGGAGTGGGGGATGCAACTCCCTATTTTACAGATGAGGACCTTTGGGGTACAAAATCTATATAGACCCCTAGGGTGATCAGGCGCCAAGCCAGGATCAGGGCCGGTGTCAGTGGGCTTGTCCTCCTGTGCTTTTCTCTCAACCTGGCTCTCACTTCAGGCCCCCGCAGCCTTCTTGAGTCTTGCTGGGCCAAGTGCTCCAGGAGACAGATCTGTATCTCCAGCCTTGGGCCTACCCAGCCAGTTGGGGCTGGTCAGCAGGCAGCTACAGGATTTCTTGAGCTGATGTTTCCCCCTAAACCCCAGCTCCTTAGTTCCGATGGAGTCAGAGGCCCAGCTGTCTAAATCCCTTGTCTTTTCATTGACCAGCTCTCCAACCTGGAGATGTCCCACTGCCTAGGCCAGCAGCTTGAGCTCAACCATGAGGGGACAGGAGGGCTGCCCTGATCAGCATTTGATTTGTTGGGGATAGTTGGGCCACCGAGGGATTCAGCCATCTCTCTCTGGGCTGTCAGCTCACCCTTCTGCCTCCCTTGTACTTTGGTTTTATTTTTTCTCTCTCTGTTCACTGACTGGGTTCTCTGCTCTGTCAGCCTTTTTCCTGCACATAACTCATCACAGCTGCATCCAAATGGCGGACTTGGCTCAACTTCCCTCCCCACACTGATGGCCTCTGTCTCAGCATCTCAACTTCACACTCCAAGAAGGGAGAGCCCATCGCCCACCCTCTAGCTGTGGCCATCAGTCAGGCTACAAGATGCACAGAGCTGCCCCACTCCTGAGGGAGTGGAGTGGACCTAGGAAGGGACAGGAGCAGGGCGGAGCCCGCTGGCTTGGGTGCCAGAAGCCAACTTAGGTTTGACTCTGCTTCCTGGTTGGCTGACTTCGTGGGCCTCTGCTGGGGGAAGACACTCCACACAAAAGGGCCTTGACATCTGGGTGGCAGTGGGCTTTGGGTATGATTTGTTTAGCCTCCTTGCTATGGGGCGATACCCATCTTTGTTCTCGGTGACACGAACTTGGGTACACTGCCACGCCAAAGATATGGACAGAAGACATTCCTGGACCTGGAAGGAGGAAGGGGGCATTTCTTGGAGGCGTGTGGGCTGTGAGTGTGCTTGGCTGAGGCCTACAGCTGTCCCTTGCCTCGCTGACTGACCTGACTGCCATGGGTGCCCCCAGAGCACTGGGAGGCCTACTTTGTGTATGCCCCTCTCTTCGTGTTACATGTTGTCCATGATGATATGTACACATGTGACCTGTGCCAATTGGTCCCTTTCCAACTGGAACAGTCCCTGCTGCTTCCAGGACAAAAATGGCCCCAGGTCTTTTTCCGCTGAAAGGTTTGAGCTCCCGGTGTTAGGGAGCGAGCTCATAGGCAGAGCAGGAACAGCAGCCTGCCTGCTCTGTAAGGTGGGCAGTGTCCCCCAGGCCCAGTACCAAGGCCTTGCCTATCCCTCTACCCTGCCCCTGGCTTCCCTCTGCTGAGCATGGCAGGGACAGATGCAGGTACCTACAGAAGCCAGACAAGGAAAGGAGCTGGCAGACTGGCCTAGTCCTGGGTCCATGCTCTCAGCAGAGCATGTCTTGGGAGGTGCAGGTCCCTGGGGCAAGGGAAGCTTTCTCTGGGAGAGGCAGTGCCCTGTGACCTTGAGCACAAGGCCCGTAGGTGGATGGGGAGGTCCAGGGAGTCACTGGTAGAGGTGACAGCTTTGATCCTTCCACTCTGGCTGTGTGGCCTCAGACCAGCCACCTGGCCTTTCTGGTCACGCTGCCCTCACATGAGCAATTGCAGTTCTGAGTGACCCATGCTGGCGACTGAGCAGCCATATGCCAAGTCCAGCAAAGCCCCTCTACTGACCTTGGCCTCTCCTCTCTGCAGCTGGAGGAGGCAGAGCGCTTTGCCATGATGGTGATCGACCTCGGGGAAGAAGCCGGGGAGTTCCTGTCCAAGGGCTACTTGGCGCTGGGTCTCACCTACAGCCTACAGGCCACTGACGGTGAGTGCCGGGGCCTCAGAGCCTATGCTTGGGGTGGATCAGGCCTCCTAATGGCCTCCTAGGCAACTTCAATCTTCCCACCTCCCAACACAGCCCCCTTGACTCCTCAAGGACGGATGTGCACACATACACACACACCCCTCAGTCCCATTTCCACTCTTACCCAGACTTCAGCACTCCCAGACGTGCCTTCTTCATCAACCCATTCTTCCCCCACTTCAAGGCCCAGCCCCAGTTCCTGGCAGAGTCCATGCTGGTGCTGGCAGCTGTAATGAGCCGCCAGCCTTGACCCTCGTTTTGGTTCATTCTGGTTCACCTTTACCCTCAGCACCGCTGTGACTTTTTAAAGTCTTTCAAATCCCCCTCCATGCATGGCATAAAGCTGAGTACATAGAAGGTGTTTAATAAATACTTGTGCTTGGCGGGTGGGTTCCTTTCTGCCACTCAGAGCCTGGCGTTCTCTCCCCAAGCCTGCCAGCTCAGCTGTGTGTCCCCCATGGATCAAGCAGCCACCTACTTCTGTATCCTTGCAGCTTGAGGGAAAGGGAGTGATGTTTCCACCCCCGACCAAACCCAGGATAGGAATCAGCCCCCAAAAGTATGATAGAGGTTACTAGGGAGCTGGGGGAAGGAAGTTGGCATTTGGAGGGTACAGACTTTCTGTTAGGGATAATGAAAAAGATCTGTAGATAGAGATTGGTGATGGTCGAACAACATTGTCCATGTGCTTAATGCCACTGAATTGTACACTTAAAATTTGTTAAAATGGTTTAAAAAATTAAAAGCCATAGCAACCTCATAAGGAAGCCCAAGGAGGCATGTGGCCAGAATGGATGTGGGAACCTCAAGGCTCGGGTCCAGGTGGCAGAAGCAGCGAGTGGAAGGACCTGGTGTGCCGAGAGCCATGCTGGGAGGCTGGGGCTGGGTGGACCCCTACCCCCACTCTGAAGACCCTTCCCTGGTAACCAGGGCAGGGGGTGGCATCAGTCCAGAGCTGCTTGAGTGCAGGCGTTTGCCAGACAGGGCCCGATGGGGCCTCCCCCTGCAGAGCGTATGTGCCCTGGGGTGGGACAGGGCTGGGTTGGCCCCTTCAGCACTCCTCAGCACCCGTCATGGCATCTTCATCCTGTCTCCTGCAGCGACTCTGAAAAGCAAGCAGGATGAATTGCACCGGAAAGCACTGCAGACACTGGAGAGGTGAGGAGGGCCCAAATTTCACAGAGGCACGAGGTGGCCCATGCACATGCTTTATGTCGGTGGACCCTCCGATGTATACAGAGCAAAGGTTTATGATCCATTTTATTGACCAAGAAATTGAGTCTCTGAAAACTCACACAGGAAGCAGGCCTTTGGGATTGGATGGGCAGGTTGAGCCTTTCAATACTCGTCACCTTCCTTTCCCTGCCCCAGGTTGAGCCCCAGCCCTCCTGAGCTCAGGGATCTAAAATGGGAATAACAACTCATTATGGTTGTGATAATTACCTGAGATAAAGCAGGAAAGCACCTTACATAGTGCCTTACTTGCAGCAGGAGCTCAAAAATAGTGTTTGTCTCCTCCCGGCCCCTCCCCAATTCAAGGGGTCCCCTCCACCCTCAGAGTCTGGAGGAACTTGAGGGGAGGCAAAGAAGCCCCTCCCCAGCAACACCCCTCTCTCCCTCAGACCCATCCTTGCTGAGCCCCTCTCTCTACCACAGCCCTGGGACCCCTGAGCATCCCTCCCCAACCCTTCCTCTGGCCCCACAGCAGGGCTCTTCCCTCAGCCCTATGTGTCTCGTCCCCCAGCGACGCCCGCCCCCTCCCCCAGCACTGATGTGGAAGGTCCTCAGGCTCCTGCCAGCTTCCCCAGAACATGGGGCACATGCAGCTCCTCCTGGGGCAGGTTGTTCCTGAACTCGGGGAGGTCAGAGTCCCATCCTGGCCAACCCCCTCAGAGTGCCCAGGGTAGGGGCACATTTCCTTCCTTCCCCTGCCGCCTCTTCATTCCCCGGCCACCTGCTCCCCCCCACCCCCACCCCCTTCCTCAGGGAAGTATTCCCTTCTGTCCCATGCTGGAGAGGGCAGTTTCCAGGCTCTGTATAAGGTCACAGCAGGGCCACGACCAGGCTAACAGCTTCCCAGAGGAGAGGGGCTTTTCCCACTCCCAATCCTACCCCTCCCAGGCAGCCCTCTGCCTCAGCCAGAGCCAGCGATTGAGTAGCCAACTGCCTCTGCCTTGGGCTGTCTGTGGCTTTCTGCCATTATCTCCCAGCTGGGCACCCTCCCAAGCTAGACCAGGCAGAATCCCTGACATTTTGCCCCAACACATGACATGCTGGAAGCAAATGTCACACAATGGTTGCCCAACCCTTGATGACTGACTTGGTGCTGCTTTTCCCCATACAGAGCTCAGCAGCTGGCACCCGGCGACCCCCAGGTCATCCTCTATGTCTCCCTGCAGCTGGCCCTTGTCCGACAGGTGGGTCCTCACAGTTCCTAACCCTCAGGTCTCTGGGGGCTGCTGATCTTCTCCTGGCACCACCGCTTTTACTGACCATGTGACCCTTTGCAAGTGATTTGACCTTTCTGAGCCTCGATTTCCTTATCTATGTGAACACCCTCATATGTCACCTCAGAAGAACCTAGTAAGGATTAAGTCAGAGAATGAGGCAAAGCCCCTGTTTTACCTTGCGCTCCACCCTGCATCGGCTTGGCGTCTCCCCTTACCGCACCCTGACTCTCATTGCAGGGCCCTTCCCTCTCACCCCATGCTCAAACCCTGGTCCTGGTGCCCAGGCGTGCCCTGGCCTTACTTGTCACTCGTTGTCACTCTGAGTTGTCTTGTCTCCCTCTCTGAGTCCTTCTATCTCAGTCATTTTCTCCCTGGCAGCCCTGCTGTCTGTCGTTCCCTCTGCTCTCCCCTCTTCCTCTCGTACCCACCCCTCCTCCCAGTAAACTTCGTCCCTCCTTCACCTCCAGGCTGCCCCTGACTGTCTCAGCCCCTCGCCCCACTGTACCCACGGCTCCTGACTTCCAGGTCCTGGATGAGGCACTTGATACCTCTGTGCTGTTCTCTTAGGAGCATCAGTCTGCTCTGGTGCTCCCGGGATCATGGATGGAAAGATACCTGAGACCACTTATTTTTAGCTCTTTGTAAAAGAACCAGTGCTTTTCTTGCCAGTCTAGTTCATGATAAACCTTTGGTGATGCATTTTTTAATACCTTTAATTATTCAGACACCTCCGATGAATGGCGTCTTTTGTCTCAGATCTTGGTAGTATCATGGGGTCAAGACTCTAAGCTAGACCTGGCCTGCCTGGGTCTCCGGCCCACCAGCCCATCCTACCCAGAGTATGTATGGCTGTCTGAGCAGTGATGGCTGCAGACTCAGATACCCAACCCAAGATAGTGGGGTCCACTCTGTGGAATCACCAGGGCAGGAGCAGCCTCACGGGGCACGGGCAAGCCAAGTTGGAAGCCACATTGACCTTAGCTTCCTCGTTCCCTTTCTTTGACCTTTCCACAAAGGTAGGTCCCTATGGGAGGACTCTGGGCCTGGCACTGCCCAGGCCTGTGCAGAGGCCAGGTGGAGACCAGGCAAGGGCCAGGCACACCAAAAGCCAAGGCCCCAGCTGGCCTGAAGTACCGGCCTCTCAGGGAGCATGGCGAGGGGTTGGGGGGCGGTGCTGTATCTGAGGTTTGATAAGGAGCAAGACTTTCCAAGAAGAATGATGAGACTCCTGGGAGGATGGTGATAGTCACAGGGGCTGATGCAACTACCAGGCCTGAGAGCACAAGAGAACAAACACACTCCTCAGGACTAGAAGGGTCTTACCTGGTCATTAGCTGCCTAGCTTTGAGAGCTTGAAGAGGGAAGCACATTTTCAAAGGTGTGCAGGACCCTGCAGGACATTTGTCCTACATTGTCTTGTCCTCTCAGCCACTGAAATGGGCATGACTATCATCTTCATTTGGTAGCATACAAACTACAGCTCGGAGAGGTGAAGTCCCTTGTCCTAAGATGCCAACTAGCATGTGGCAGAGCTGGGATCCATGCCCCCCATTTGACCCCATAGCCCAAACTCTTGCCACTGTGGGCCTCTGAGTAAGAGGGGCGTTTATCTGACGGTCTCCATCACTTTATGGACAGGTTCAGAGAAAAGGGCCTGATGGCCTATCCTTACAGCCCCGACTCCTCTGGTTTAAGAAATGCTTCCTGGCATCTACCTAGATCCTTTGTGCTGCACTGCACACCTGTTCCTCTTTACTCTCGAGTGGGGACAGCAGTAGCTTCCTGGGCCTGACTTGGGGCAAAAGATCTCTCTTACCATGTGACTTGGGGGTTTGCTTTTTCATCAGAGCACCAGCCCTGCTCCCCCAGTGCCCAGGGTCTCACCTGAGCCCGGTGCCTCCTTGATGGCTGGCACTTGGCACCAAAGCCCTGGGGGGAGGTGTGGGCCTTGGGGAAGATCGCTAAGTTGGCAGCTTTCTCTGGCAGATCTCTAGCGCCATGGAGCAGCTGCAGGAGGCCCTGAAAGTGTGCAGGGACGATGCCAATGCCCTCCACCTGCTGGCACTGCTCTTCTCCGCCCAGAAGCACTACCAGCACGCACTGGATGTCATCAACATGGCCATCACGGAGTACCCTGAGAACTTCAAGTGAGTTCCCTGTGGGCACCACTGGGCTGAGGGGCTGGCCAGTCAGGAACACACGTGGGAGTCCATGCACACCCTGCCCAGCTAACACACACTGATTAAGTGCCCATTGCATGCATGCTCCCAGCTAGAGAGCTAAGGCAGGATGAGGACCTGTGGGGCAGGAGAATGGCTTTGGTATTCTGTGTCCAGAGGTTCCAGGTGGGGAGTGGTGAGCTCTATGTGGCATCTGAGGGCTCTACAGGGGCTTCGTGGACCACAGAGGGGATGTGGTCAAACACACGTGGTCAAGTTGCTTCCACTCCACCTTGGGCTCTGTATTTGAGCCTCCTGGGAACACTAGCTTAGGTAACTTCATTATAACCCTGGCACAGCCAGCCACAGGTGGGATTCTAACACTGGCTGGGCTGGTGCGGGCCAAGGGAGCCATTTCCCTGCGTCCAAGCAGGCTAGTGGGCTTGGGGGAAGAGGTCATCTCCCTGCAGGGTAGTCCTGGCCTTTCCTTCCATTCTCGGCTTCTCCACACTCCCATTTACCGTGTCGCCCAGATGGCCCTCTCTGTGGAGCAGGGTTTGTGCTGCACTTGGCCCTGGTGGTGGGTGGATGAAGAAGAATTAGACTCTCCCGCCTGGCCCCACCTGTACACAGAAGACCTGCTGCCACCCAGCGGGGACTCTGGGGCTGGTGACAAGAGCCCTGCTGGGCCAGCTGCAGCAGGAGGGTGTGTTGCTCTTCAGACGTGAACAAAAGGGAGATTGGCTTGACTTCTGCCCTCCTCCCCCAGGCAGATGACACTGGGTGTGATAGATCTTGTTTCTCTGAACCCTGTGATTCCAGAATGGAGGGGCCTCTGAGTACCCCACTCTCAGGGTGTCCCATTTTAGGGTCTGAAGGAGGGAATTTAGAACCAGCCACAGACAAGAGAAAGAAACAGGGTCCTGGCTACTCTGAGAGGTGACTTATGCTGGCAATGAAAACCGGTTCACAGAGAATTAGGGAAAATTGGTGGGTGCCATAGCCGTGAGAGGTGATGGGACAGGGCTGCCCCTTAGGGCAAAGCCCCAGGATTCCTGTGCCTCGGCCTCCTTCAAAGGATGCTGAGGGTGGCTTGGCCTATGGACTTTGCTGAAGATGGCTTCCTTCTCGCCAAGGCTCAGGAAAGGTGCTTTGGGAGAAGCAGAGTGACCTAACCATAAGCTCCCCAGTATGCTCCCCTGATGAGGAAGACCCTGTGACTAAGACCTCGGGCAGGCGTTCATCCTGCAGGTTGGCCTGCTTACCTGGGAGTAAACCACCCCTCTGCCCACAGCACCCTGGCTTCTGACCCCTTTCGTCCACCCGACATCTTGGTCCAGGTGGGTCCCAGCTGCCCACAGCCAGGTGTAAGCAGAGACAGTGTGTGGCCAACTCAACATAACCCATTATTTGTGTTAAGAAGATGCCCCTGGCTCTTGGCTTCGACCCCGCATTTGCAAGATTATTAAAATTGAAATCAATTCACTTTAAAGGCAGCTAGCTTCGGGAATACTAATATACAGAAAAAAAAGTACACGTGGACAACGGATAGTTATGTTGTCTCATTAATCCCGAGTACGATACAGCAAGACCTACTGCATAGAAGTTTATTTTTTACTTTTAATGAAAATACACAAAGGACAGAGGTCTACCTCTTCCAGTACTAGTTACTTTGCTTTTTTCCAGGCTCACCTGTGTGACAGGGTGTGACCCGTTGTCTGCTGCTGGCCACAAGGCCAGTCATCAGATATTGTTTTATCAGCAAGTCCTTTTTTCCAAGTGAAATCTTACATGTAAATTAAGACTATGAACAGATAGAAGTAGAACCGTCCTGATGGAAACAAGGGAAGGGGATTCACATGCTGCCCGCTCAGCCCCTCCTCGGACCCCCTGTCCCGGCGTCTGGCATCTTACTGCAGTGTCTCTTCCCAACTTCTGGGATGAATGCTTTGTGCTGGCAGAGTCACCTCCCTTGGCCCGATGTGGGAGGCTAACGCCACTTTTTGAAAATCTGCTCGAAGCCCATGCTGTGCTAGGAACAGCGGGAGTGGGGTGGATTTGTCCGAGATGAGGGTGGGGGAGCTCTCTGGCTCACCCTCAGCACCTCCCAGCGCACCCAGGGGAGGTGCCTCCTGCTTCCTGTGGGCTTCCTCCATCCTCCCTGGCTCAGGCTAGTTGAGGAAGCTGTCTTCTCCCCACTATTCCCTCCCTTGTTGGCAGTGTGCGCCCCTCCATCCCCTTTCCTCCCACCTCACTCAGGTGCCCCCTCCTTTCCCAAGAAATGCTTCACTCACTGAAAGTGTCTTCATGGGGGCGCTAGAGAGGCGGTCCTTGCTGTGAGATTGGTGACTCCCCCTGGGAGGCCCATGGCTGGACTTCTGGGCCTCCAAGATGCCTGGAACTGAACTCACTAAGATTTGCACTGTGTGCATGCATCCAGGGAGAGGGCTTTCAGCAGACCCTCAGAGGGACCCTAGACCCAAAAACGGTGAGCCGCCCTGGTATAGGTTGTGCTTTTAGTCAGTTTGCGGGATAACTGGGCCCCTCTCTGTCAGCTGTGTCCCCACTTCTGCAGGCAGAATCCTTCTAAAGGGGCAGCCATCACTGTGGAAACAGAGTTCCCCCATCCAGAGACACACCAGGGCTGCCACTGCAGGGGCCTCAGGCTGGGGCCCTGGGGCCAGCAGCAGGGAAACTTCTGTGAGGCCCAAGCCCAAGGAAGGAAAACATTTGAGTCCTGTCCCCAGAGGCCTCCTCGGGATTCTTCTGTTCCTATGTCAGTATACAGATGCCTACTGAGGAGCATTTGGCCACCTGAGCACCCCCTCCCCCATGGTGCCTCACTCTGCAAAGCCCATCGGGGTCAGTGGAGTAGAGAAGTAGTGAAAGGTTCTTTATCCCTGAGCCACCATGAGCTTTTCACCTCCATAACCGTGAAGAGCTCTGTCTTGATCTGAGCCAGCCCTAAAAGGCTGCAAAACTAACTGGAAAAAATATAGGAGGCTTCTGGCCTCCAGAACTGAGAGAATACATTTCACATTTCTATTGTCTTAGGGAGAAAAAAAAACTCCACCTTAAAATATGTACGTGTGTGTGTATGTGTGTACGAATATATGCATGTGTGTGTGTGTATCTAGATATATAGATAGATATAGATATAGATACAGATACAGATACAGATATAGATATAGATATAGATATAGATATAGATATAGATATAGATATAGATATAGATATAGATATAGATATAGATATAGATATAGATATAGATATAGATATAGATATAGATATAGATATAGATATAGATATAGATATAGATATAGATATAGATATAGATATAGATATAGATATAGATATAGATATGAAGTAGGAGTGAGGATGGAAAATCCATCTACCACAAAGCTCTGGATTGACCAAAGAGGATGACCATGGCTCTTTGCAAATAAGTCAGTACTATTCCCCACAGATGAAACTCCGGGAATACAGAAATCCATGGGTTAGCAGGATATATCATCGAGTCCATTACTGGTCAGGGATCACTGAAAAATGTCATTGCTCTTCAGTGGAAACTGCATCCTGCTTCTCCAGCTGCTCCCTGCTTTGGGAACAAGCTGTGTGGCGCCAGCTGTTGCAATGGCAGTTAATTAAATGACCGGTCCAGTAAACATCACTGCAGCAAAACAAAAGTCAAACCGCCATCACCCTGACCTCCACATCACCAGCAAGGTCTATGTATTCGGGGGGCACTTAAGGGCCCGTGGTCTGGGTCTGTCTGCCACTGAGCACCTCCCCACTAGCTGCCCCATGTGGCTGAGATCGTTTAGAGGGTCTGCCTTTCTGCAGAGCCTGCGTTAGTGAAAAGAAAGAGGTAGACCAGCCAGCGTTGGGGTGGAGGAGACCTGGCACAGGGGAGGGTGCAATGGACCCCTTTCCACATCAGCTTATCCCTGTGCAAGTCGTGCCTGTCACTTACCTGTGTCCCCTCCAGCAGCATGCTCCTCCTTTCCTTGCCTTCATTTTCTCATCTGCCAGAAGACTGACATCCATTCTGCCTCCCTCAGCTTCCAAAGTCTTGTAAGACTCGGGCAAGAGAAGGTCTCACGGTCGGTTTATAACCGTGTGGTGGGGTCTGGAAGGCAGCCCACTGTGTCAGACTGCAACATGGCACCCAAGGGGGCCAGTGCTCGTGGGCCAGGAGGTGGAGGAGGGTGCCCTGTGTGTAAGGGAGGGCAGGGAGGCAGAGGCAGGGAAGCTCTGTGAAAGGTCTTTAAGCTTTTTAGCTGCATAAGAGGCCGTAATTCCTACAAGCAGTCTCAAGACTCCTGGAGAAAAATTCAGCTTTCGTGGAGTTGAACTTTCGAAAATCCTCCTGAATTCAGGGATTAGAAAGCAAAGCAAAGAGGATCTTGATTTTCGTGCTGTGGGAGGACCTTTAGTTAATGGAGCTTGGGTTTAAAAAGGCAGGAACGTGATGAGGCAGAGACCGATGGCCACGGGGACAGTGTGAGCCTGGCACAGTGGGAACCAGACACCCTGAGCAACCTCCTGAAATCCTGAGGGCTTCTAACTAAGCCCTGGACACATGTGCTGGCTGAGGCCAGTCCTGGTCAGCCTGCAGAGGGCCTCGTGGGGGCAGCAGCCTCCCTGTTCAGACCTGGTTCTAAGCCAGGCCAGGCCCTGGAATGCGAGAGGGCCCATACGAACTTGAAGATACCTTTGCTAGGCTTTTCTCCTGGTCGTGGGTACGGGAGGCAGCTGGGAGGCCCAGCCCAGGGGGGCAGGAGTGCAGGGTCAGAGGGAATCAGCTACTGATAAGCATGGATCCTGAAGCCCAGGGCTCCTTGGGGCGCTGGTTTTAGGTAGCAGATTCCTTGTGCTTTAGTCAGGCCTCTTGTAGTGAAGGTCACCATGGTAACCAAACAACATTCCTGAGCTAATGATGGGAGCTTTCCAATAACCAGCCTGTCAGTCACTGCCCCCACCCCAGGCTTGGCAGCCTGCCACATCAGTGTTGAAAGCCCCGGCCCTGGGCTGGTGGCAGAGGAGCCAACTGGTTTGCCCTGCCCGTCTCCGCAATTCCAAGGTTGCCTCCTTCCACCACTGTCAGTCAGGGTAGGCCGCCCCACCCAGGTCCAGGGGGACTTGGAAGGTCCTGGGGGAAGGTGTGTGGAAGTGGGGAGCACTCCCCAGCACTGGAACAATGAATGCAGCCCTCTCAACAAGCCAGAGCTCGCTGTGTGTAAACAAATGAAACCATCAAAGCCATCTCCCCAGGGAAACCTAGGCTGTTTTGGAAAATGTTTGAGCTGATAACTAGGCGTTGGCTGGGGCCAGACCTTGACCTTATTTAGTTAAGGTTAGCGCTGGCCCCAAGGGCACCTCTCTGATCTACCTGTCCTGCCTCACCTTTTTCTCAAGTGGCAAGTGACATATTTCTAGTGGTGCATTCCTCTGGGGCTCCTGTTAACATTTCTGACTTAAACCCAGTGTGTTTATTGGATGGATCTTATTAGGGACTTGTAGTAGATCAAAAGGACGCTTAAAATACCAACCCTCCAGTGAGGAGGCTGGAATCAAAGGTATGAGCATAAACCTAGTTTATCACTTTGCTGCATTCATTAAACATATTTAGCTTCCACAGCCCCCCGAGGACAAGAGCCGGGGGTTCAGCTTGCAGGCTGCGTGGTAGAGGGGGAGTGTTAAGCCAGACATAATCACTGGCACCAGGCTCTCTTCCCCAAAGGTCAGTTCCTCATTGCTAAGCTGGTTTGACATTCAGCATTTCCCTTCGCTGGTTGTTCCGTGCAGCCTCCTGTGATCTCACTCTGTGTGACGCTGCAGTCAGAGTCCTCGGTCTCCCTTAGTTGTCCACTTAACTCAGACTAGCAGGGTAGATGACCTGGGTGGCTTTGTTTGAAGAGGAGAGGGAGGAAAGGAAAGAGATATTTGCATATTTTTCCAAAAGGAATTCTTCATTTGTTTTAAAGTGGTTTTAGCCCTTTGCTTCCTGGACTCCTTGATTTCCTTGCTTATAACCTGTTCTAGAGACAGGCACTGGGGCCCAGGGCACACCATTCTCTAGCTGGAGGGGCCCGGGCCCAGGAGGGGCATTCGTACTGTGAAGCAGGGCTGTCCTCCTCTTGGCTACAGGTGGTCTTCGGGTCCTCAGGTTCTGCTCACTGAGCAGAGATCACAAACCAGGACCAAAGCGTTTGCTTCTTGGTGCCTTATACCAGCTTGGAAGCCTTCCTTTGTTCTCCCTGAGGACTTTCTGCAAGTTCTTCCGCCTCCGAATGGTCATGGAATTGCCCTGCGTGGTTTGCGTTCATATCTTTCGAGGTTGTGAATTTGTGTTTGCAGAGTTATCTGGGGTTAACTGGAGGTGGCCTGCAGCTGAGGGAAATGGGCCTGGAGGCCACTGGGTCAGCCATCAGTCCACACAGACAAGAAGGCCTTGCCATGCAGCCAGCCATAGCATGTACTCCAGGTAGGACAGGGTTTGAAGTACAGAGAGGCTAAATTCAGTAAGCAAAGCATACAGGCTGTTGATTTTTAAAGCTTCAAAGTTGGGTCACATTGAATGAATTCGTTAGGAGGTAGAAGATCAGTGTAAGCCTTAAAAGATTAGGGGATATGAGTCAATGTAATTCTCCAGACCCAAGGAAAAATCGTTGGTTTTCAGGGCTGGGAACCATAAGAATCCCTTTCACACTGGGGGTTCGTCCATGGGAAGGTACTAAGGCTGGACCTGACTGTGGCCCTCTCCTTCTCAGGGAGATGCTCCTGTTAGGGCTTTAATAATACCCTCAGAGAGCTCGGTGTGACTTTAATCAGTTAATTGCCCTGGTGGAGTCTGTCCCAGAGGCATGGAGTCTAGGAGTCTGGGAGACCTGCGCCCTTCAGCAAATGCCTGGTATTCCTGGCCAGGGGCAGGGCCACACCCTGAGAGCCAGGTGATGACAGCCTGAATGGGGCTCTAGGGGTGCTCTGTCTCCGACACAGAGGGGCTACTCCCCCTTTCTCCATGCCCCCATCCTGTCCTGGGGAAGGAGTCTCTGCCTGGTCAGGCTGGCCCCTCCCACCCACCTCCTGGCTTTTCTTCTCTGCCAGTCCAGCCCTCCCTACCCTGCTGTGCTTTCTCAGAGACCCCTCAGCTTCACTTGGCCTGAAGTGTTCCTCATGGAGTTCCTCAAAGCTGACCCACTCAGTCGAGTGCTTGGTTCTCCTCTGTTTAGTTTCCTAATCGTCTCAGATGTATTGTTTGAACCTCCCCTGAGTGTGGAAACACCTCTGGGGCAGAGACTGTGGCCTGTCCTCTGCTTTCCCCTCCTCCTGTAGGGAGCCCGTGGCTGGGCGCCCAGCACCCAAGTAGACCATCTGATGAGTAGACCATGGGAAGGAAGGAAGGGAACACATGGGGATGTTGACATCTTACAGCTCTCAGAGTGCGCACACCCCTTACCCTGTTTTGTTATCATTTGTGTTTGATTTATGTTTTAGTTTTTATAGCTCTCCTACTTTAAAGGTGAACAAACTAATGGGAACGCTAGATGATATCTCAAGATCAGGTAGCTGATGAGTGGCAAAGCAAGGACTAGAACTCACGCCAGCTAATGGGCTGAACAGCCCTAGTCTGCTTGAACCCATGAGCAGTGCACCCAGTGCTTGCTCTGCCAGGCGCTGCTCTAAGCACTTCAATTACACCCCCTTAGCAATATTAGGAGATACAGAAACTCCCATTGTTCCCACTTTACAGATGAAGAAACAGAGGCATGGAGGGCATAAGTAAGCAACTAGATAACAGGGGCTAGGTAAATATTGACAGGGCAGACGTGGATCAGACCCTTTATGAAATGCCAACCCCCTGCTAGGCTTTTATTTCCACATAAGAACCCCCAAGGCATATATACAGATCTTGTCATTCCCATTTTATAGATACAAAATTGAAGTTACCTGACTTGCCCGGGGTCACATGGCTAGAAGAAGGGAAGCTGGGATTTGAACGTGGATCCTCAAATGTGGCCCCTGGTTTTCACCACTGAGTCCGACTGGGGGCAGCCCAGGATGGGGTCCGCTTCCTATAGAACCCCATGCTGTCTGTGTGCCAATTCTGGCCTCCTGGCCGAGGAGTTAGACTTTCCAGAGGCATAGGCCACCTAACTCAGAGAATAGCCTGCTTTTTCACTCAATTATGTGTTTTCTGTAAAAATAGAATACTTCATTAAAACAGCACAGTACACCCATCAGCTGGAATTACTAATTACTGTCCTTTAAAGAGATAATACCCCCTTTTGCACATTCACCACACCTGCTGCCATCCCTTCCCCCAGTGTGGAAGGCTCCCACGATGGCCAGAAACCTGAGGGATCAGGCAGAGCCACCCATGGCCCAGTGAACGGGTGAACAGAGGCATGGGACCAGGAAAAGCGGAGCATTCTGCAGGACATCCTGCCCCTTCACTTCTTCAGAGTCCTCTGATCCTGGGAATGCCCACAGCTCTCCAGGCCTCAGTGAGTCCTTGCGACTCAACTTCCTTCTTCCATTATCCAGCAAAGATCCATTGAGTGACATTAGGTCAGGCATTGGGGATACAAAGATAAGAAAGACATGGTCCCTGCCCCAGAGTACAGAATCTAACAGGGAGGACTGGTAATGACGGAGTGAGTGGTCTGGGGCTGACACTAACCTCTTTCGAGGGATAACTGTGCACCAGGGCTGCCTTTATAGGCTCTCTTGCCCTAATCCTCCCAATAGCCCTCCTGGGCAGTGCCATTACTGGCCCCGCTTTACACAATAGGTAAAAACTCAGAGAGGTGAAGGCACCTGCTAGGAAGCAGCAAAGCCTAGAAGCATACCAGCTTCATCTGATACCAAAGGCCATTTCTGCAGTGTCCTGCTGTTTGAGGAAGAATGAGCCCGGGGCCAGAGGTGGCTCTCTCAGATGCATGGCAGTTACCGTGTTCAAGTGTTTACTGTACATGCTGAGGAATTGTATAGGGAGCTGCTTTCAGGAACATGAAAGGAAAATGTAGACCCATTGTGCTTGCCACCCGTATAGCCCATGTCCTTCGCTGCAGCCAGATCTGCCCTGCCAGCATCTCCCTGCCACCAAGGGTGCTGGGGTAACCAGCCAGGGAGGGGACACAGGGGAGAATGATCCGAGGCTCCTGAAAAGGTGGACTGGACAAGATGACCTCTGACCCCAGGACAGAGCTTGCTTAGCCAGAGCCATTGTCACAAAAATATCCCCTATTTATCAAAGAATTCTTTTTTGGGAAAAAAGGTTTTAAAGAGGCTCATGCTTACCCAGTTATGAGGAGGCTCACCCTAACATATCTCCTCTTCATAGCAGTGGGAAAAAATGATTTGTCTTTGCCTCAAATGAGAACAGCTCCAAGTATTAATCCTTCTGATAATTAGCAGGCTGATTCTGGTCTTGCCCCAGGAGTGCAGACCAGGCAGGAAGGGCCCAGGAAGGATGGGAGGAAGAGGTGGAGGCCAAGCCTACCCAACTATTCCCCTGGGAACCTCCACCTTCAGCCCTGGCTGGGGGGATCTGGAAGATTGGCAATTCTGGTGACCTGTGGTGACACCCAGAGACTCTGACCTCACTGGTCTGTCTTTCTCCCACAGGAGAGGGACTGGCGCAGACACGGACAGTCAGACAGACATTCAGACTCTGCAGGG